AACTGCGGCCTCCGCCCGCCGCCGGCCTTCGCGCCGCGGCCACGCCCCCCGGCCGCCGTCTATTGGGGAGGGGCCGGCTCGGACCCGCCCCGCTCCCCGCGGCCCCACCTATGGCAGAGGAGAATGGCCAGCCGCGCTGATTGGAGACTGCGCTCCCTGACCTCTCTTTCCCGGGGGGCCTAGTTGGATAGCGCCAGTCTCCGAGCCGGTTTCCATTGGGGACTGCCCTCCTGGACACGCCTCCGACCCCTCGCCGCTCATTGGCGGCCCCACTTCCGCCTCTGCGCCATTGGTCTGCGAGGACCGGAGGGCGGAGCCCGGCGGGGCTGGGTCCAGGCCGGCAGTGACCCCCGTGACCCTGGGCCCAGCTAGGTGGGTGACGTTGGCTGGGCTCGGTCGTTCCTCACCGTGCCGGCACCCAGTCCACCTGTTCCTCACGCTCAGAACGCAGTGGAAGAAGGGTCTGCCCAGGACTGGAAAGCTGTCCCCGCTGGTTCAGGGACTGCCCACCTGTGGTCCTAGGTCCTCTGCAGGACTTGGAGAGGCTAATGCTGGAGCCCCACGCAGTGCTGAGGAACTGCTTCTCAGGAACCCCTAACTTTTGCCAGCCCCCAGAACTCACTCTGTTGTTCACACAAGTAGCAGAAGCCCTACCCCACACTTTGCCATCCAGGGCCCACTGAGCAGGAACAGGAGTGCAGAAGCTGGAGAGAGAAAGCTCTCCAATGCAGACGGCCACGAAAGCCAGGCTGTACATTCCACCCTGTTGCCTCCCCACACTCCTCTTTCATCTTCTGAACTTCCCCCATCCCAAGGCTAGTAGGGGTGCCAGTGACCTTAAGGGCCCAGCTTTCTTGCCCTTGCCGTGAAGAAGCTCACTCCCAGCACCCACCACACTTTTGAGGCCCAGTGAAGCCAAGGGGAGATGAGATTAGGGGGCATTGACACAGAGGGATGCTACCTGCCTTCCCCTCAGCTCTCCTGCACTCAGCACTTGCTCAGTAATGGCACCACTGCATTCTATGGCCCTCACCTTTCAGGGACAGGGCTCCAAGGACACCTGGGGCTCCACATAGACTGCGGGCAGGTTTCAACCCGGGGTGCCCTTCTCAGCTTCCGGGCCCCATGGTGGTCTGCACTACAACTACTTTAACATTGACTTACTCCTTTCCACTCTACTAAGCCAAGAAAATAAACTGGATTTCAGCCTTCCAGAAGTCAAGTGTCTCCTTTTCAGGACTCTGATCAAATCACTTTTCCAAAGGAAACTAAGCCGTCTTATGCTCATCACTTCTATAGCAACAGGATGGCTCAATTCTGAACTACAAAATAAAACAGGATACAACAAAACATGCAACCTAAAAATAACATTAAAAGAAAACCCACTCCCAGGGCACCTGGCTGGCTCAGTCAGAGAAGCATGCGACTCTTGATCTCGGGGTCCTGAGTTCGAGCCCCACATTGGCTGTAGAAATTACGTAAATGAACTTTAAATAATAAAAATATAAAACAAAACAAAGAAAACCCACTGGCAATGTTCATCTTCTGATTTTGACACAAATTATGCCAATCCTGGGTAGAAAACATTGTTGTAGCTGTGGGACAAACCAGACCAGTCTCCAACGCAAGCATCTCAATGGCTCAGGCCATGCAGCATCCATTCTAGGCAGAGGGTCACAAAGCTGCTTCACTAAAATAAAGGTCTGCAAATCTGTTCTGTAAAGGGCCAGACAGTAAATATTTTATTTTTAGGCAGTTCTCACCAGGGACAGCTTTGTCTCCCAGACTTTTTAATGTATGGAGACACTTCTGCTTGTCACAAGTGAGGGGTGCTCCTGGCATCTAGTGAGTAGAGGCCAGGGATGCTGCTAAACATTCTACAATGCTCAGAACAGCACCACTCCCCACCCCAATCAAAGAATGATTTGACCCAAAAGGCCAAGAGTGCCAACTGCAAGCCACATTCACTTGCTGTCACATGCTCTTTGTTTTTATAAGCCTTTGAAAATGTAAAAAATCACTCTCAGCTAATGGGCAGTACAAAAACAGGCCTCAGGCCATAGTTTGTTGACCCCTGCTCCACAGCAAGGCCTATAAAGACCACACACTGGCAGGAAGACAAGGCTCTGATGTCACACAAACTATTCAGCAGTGCCTCAACACAGGCCTACCCTATGTTGTCTTCACCCTGGCTCCCCGGGCAGGAAGACAGGCTTCTCCGAGGGAATGCCCCCATCCACCAATGAAGCTCTAGTACATTCCGGTCTCCCACAGTTTGTAACCAGCTACATGACACAGGGGGCAGCATCTCAGCATTCATCTGATTTCACCCTCAAGAGCTCAGGCAACCACTGCACATCTCAGCAAAACATTCTTATTTTATTTTTATCTCAGCAAACGTTCTCATTTGGCACCTGACTGGCATTAAACTAAAGACCCCAGCCCAACAAACGTGGGCCAAGACCATTTGCAGGTCTCAGTGCCTGTGAGCATCAAAGCTGTTCCTCTCTCTGGTCCCTTAGGGAGGCCTAAATCTGTCTCAGGTGTGCTAACAGTGCTGGCCACAAGGTGGTGGAAAAGTTGCAATCGACTGGGATAGGAAGCCAAGCAGTGCTTTATAAGCGAAGTTCTCTCAGGTGGCAGATCTCCAAATATAGGGTCCCAATCATGCTTATTCAACATACTTCTGTCTGCCTGGGCTGGAATGAAGAAAGGGCCATCCTCCCCAGGGGCTCAGGGGAGGAGACACAAGCTCGTTTACACCACTTAGAGCTCAAGCATCTAAGTCTTGTCTGGATGGATGGGGCAGTGGGCTCTTAGGTCAGCGCTGCTGGGCAGAGGAAATCCCCGAGTCCGGCTTTGCAGCCTTTGCACAAGGAGTACTCTTCCAAGATCCATGAAAATACTCAGAGCCCATCGGGGCATTTTACATATATGCAGTTTCCAACTGTCAGAGGAACTCTGCACTGTCTGGCCTGGGTCCTTCTCAGCATCTCAATTCAGGATTAGCTATTCAAAGCATGAAATAACAAGAAATACATTTTAAGGATCAAGGCTGCTCTTTTTTGCCCTGCTGAGGGAACAATTTTAGACATGATTGGTATAGAGAAAATTGGGCACTCGCCAGGGCAGGAGCTGACTTTGCTTTCAGACCCAGACTTCTCCTTTGGTGCGGTGGAAGTGGGACCTCAGCTTGGGGTCCAGCATCCTAGCTATCCGGAGTTCTCTCTCCGGCCTTTCTGCGAGGCTAGTTGACCCGACAGGCGCGGATCATGAGCAGCTGCAGGAGAATGAAGACTGGAGACGTGATCAAGCCGAACCAGAGCTCCCGAGTCTGTTCCACCAGCTTCTGGCACAGTAACATCTCGAAGACAAACTTGAGGCTGAGAACCGTGAGGACCCAGAAGAGGCGGAGCACGGCCAACCGCTTCTCTCCGTCCTGGAAGAGGCGCACGGACACGATGGTGGTGAAGTAGGTGCTGAGCCCATCGGCGGCGAAAAAGGGCACAAACACGTTCCACCAGGAGAGGCCGGGGGCTAGGCCGTCCACACGCAGTGCCAGCAGCACGGAGAACACCATCAGGGCCAGCAGGTGCACGAAGATCTCGAAGGTGGCGAAGCCCAGCCACTGCACTAACTCCCGGAGGGAGAAGAGCATCGCGCCGGTTGAGCGCGGGCCGGGGCCCGGCCGAGCGTCCCACCGGCGGAGCTGCTCCTCCTCTCCCCGCGGGTCTCGCCGGCGCCTGCCGCCGTCGCCGCTGCTGCGAGCGGGAGACAGCGAGCGGCTGCGCCTGTCCCGGCCCTCGGCCCTGGCGTGCCGCCAATACCCTGGCCCTGGCCCGGGACCCAGTACTGGCCGCGAGCGGACGCCCGCCTCTCTCGGACGCCATGCCCTGCAGGGCGCGGCCTGAGGGCGTCACTTCCGGCCATCACCGGAAGTCGGAAGTCCGCGCAGGTCCGGGCCGCGCAGGCTTGCGGGAGCTGTTAGCAGGCCCGGTACCTGGGTGCGGGCATCTCCCGGTCGTCCCGATGCCGAGCCCGGGCCTTCTGGTGCTCTTCGGCAGCCAGACAGGCACGGCTCAGGATGTGTCGGAGAGGCTGGGCCGCGAGGCTCGGCGCCGGCGGCTCGACTGCCGGGTGCAGGCCCTGGACTCTTACTCAGTGGTGAGGGCGCCCTGGGGCCCCGGCGGGGAGACCGAGCCGGCCTGGGGCGCCGCCTCCCTCCGAGCCCTCGACCGCAGGGCGCCGCATTTTGTCTGACAGCAGGCCCTTCGCTTACGGCGGGTTCAGGGGGCGGGAGAACCTGGGACAGTGGCTTGGCTTAGCGCGTGGAGGGAGGGAGCAGGCAAGGTGGGAGGGTGGAACCTGAAAGAGAAAAAGGGCCGGCCGGCCGTGCGCGGGCGCTCCCTGAGACCTTTTGTCCGACCGCCGTGAGCGAGGGAGAGGGCGCCAGGCTGCGGAGAGGATGCCTAGTCATTACAGCCCGAGGTCTTACACGTGTGTCTTTTTGTTGAGGTGAATCTGATTAATGAGCCCCTGGTGATATTTGTTTGTGCAACTACAGGCCAAGGAGATCCCCCTGACAACATGAAGGTAAGGCCGACCTGAAGGCTTTCTCTGCTCAGGAGCTCAGATCACTGCCCTGGACCCTCACTCTCTTTTCTTTGCCTGGAGAGCCCCAGAAGCACAATAAACACTTGCCCTCCTATACCTGCTGCCGCACGTCAGCTATGGATTGGGAAGGGTGTCTTCGGATGGAGCTGGGGCTCTGGCTCTGGCTGTCCTCCCTAATAAACTCTTCACAGGCCACCGAATAGCCTTGTTCTCCATTTTAACCTGTAATATTTTCTCCAGGGCTGTGTATGAATCAGGTCTGGGTCTACGTGTGTATTTCAAAACTGGTGGACCTTCCCAGAACATTCTTCAATTCTTTGAACATCTTTTGAGTACACATTCTATTCCAAGCATGATCTAGTGCTGGGAATCCAGCCATGAACCTATTTCTGTCCTCATGGAGCTCACCTCATAGCACAAGCAACAACTTTCACAGGCAGTTACAATACTAGGAGATACATGTTGCCAGGGAAAGTACCAGATGTCATGGGGGCATTCATAAAAGCTATCTAGCCCAACCTATGGGCTCAGGGAGAGCTTTCGAGAAGAAAGGCGTGTAGGCTAAGTCCTGAGGATAAGTGGAGGCTGGCCAGGCAAGAGGGAGAAGCCTGTGCAGAGGAGAAAGACCACCTCTGGGAAGAGTAGAAAGCAGTTCAGTAGGACAGAGCCAAGGAGAGCATCAGGGTGGGAGGGGAGAAGAGAGGCAGGAAGCTGGACCTGATCCCAAGGAGCCCAGCAGCCACAGTAAGATGGATGGACTTGAAGTGAAGGGCTGTGGAATCCACTGGGTGACACAGTCACATTTGTACTCTAGCAAAACTGCCACTTGTCAATAGGGGAGGACAGGCTATAGGAGAGCAAGAACAGCTCCAGAGTATGCACAGTGCAGGCAAGACTGGCGACCTGGACCAGGAGGGTGGCAGGCAGTAGAGAAAAATAGACACACTCCGGAGATGTCAGGGTAGAATCGAGAGGACATGGAATCAAACAGGGATTCGGGCTCGGGGACCAGAATAGCTGGTAGTTCCAGGCACAGAGATAGAGACCAGGGAGGTCAAGTGCTAGGAGTCATCCAGGTCGAGATGCAAGGTTGGTATGGAGCTCCATCCGAGCTACTTCCTAGCAAGTATCCTGGGTGAAGCATGAGAAAGGAAGCTCTCCCTCTCTCCTGGGACAGGTTGCCCTGAAAACCAAGGGCATGAGAGGAGGAGGAAGGCCTGTGAGGGGCAGGAAAGTGGCCCCAGCAGCAAAAAGAGGGAGTGTACCAAATCCAAGGTCAAGGGCATAGAGGTGACTTCTGAGAGGAAGGTTTCCAGCACTCAGAGCTGCACAGAAGTAAAGTAAGATAAGGCCTGAGCAGCATTGGTAGGGTTTATCAGCAAAGGGACTGCTGGTGACTTTGGGGAGAGCAGTTTCAGTGACTCACAGGGAGAGAAGTGAGTCACGGGGTCAACAACTAAGTAGAGAGAATCTTAAGAATGTCTCTACATTAAACAAAAGGGGCGCCTGGGTGGCTCAGTCGGTTAAGTGTCTGACTCTTGATCTCAGCTCAGGTTATGATATCAGGGTTGTGAGTTTAAACTCCGCGCCCAACATGGAGCCTACAGGAAACAAAAGATTCTGGCTGTGATTGGGGCTAAGGGGTTGGAAAGAAAGTATCAATAAGATGAGAGAGATGGGGCGCCCGGGTGGCTCAGTCAGTTAAGCATCTGCCTTCGGCTCAGGTCATGATCTGAGTCCTGGGACTGAGTCCTGCATCGGGCTCCCTGCTCAGCAGGGAGTCTGCTTCTCCTTCATGCCTCTCCCCCGCAGCTTGTGCTCTCTTGCTTGCTTGCTCACTCTCAAATAAATAAATAAAATCTTAAAAAAAAAAAAGGTGAGAGAGACCTGTTAAATGCTGGGAGTGGGGAGACTGGGGGAGAAAGAGGCTTAAGATTGAAGAACAGGGTCACAGCGGGAATGATATAGGAGACCTGGGGCCGAGACCCCAGCACAATCAGGAGGGGTCTCCTCAGACAGGAAGAGGGACAGAAGAGAAGGCAAATCTGGCGATCAAAAGCAGGAGGTGAAGGGTGGATACCCAAGACACAGGGCAAGGGAGAGGAGGGGAGACAAAGACTTCTAGGAGGTCAGCTGGGGTACAGACTGGATATCAGACACCAACAGCACGAAGGAGGTGATGGTCATCCCTGGATGAGGGTGGACAAGGAAGATGGCAGGCATAGACCCCACCATGGAGGTGGACAGGAGAGAGCCCTCCCCAACCACAGCAGGGCCTGGAGAGGCTGCAGAATGAGGTCCCAGGGACACGGAGGAGGGGGCATGGGTGCTGCTGAAGACCCGGCTTAGTGACCAGCTGTGTACTAAATGCTGGCTGCCTTGCCTTGGTCCTCAGAACCCTGAGGTCAGGCACGCGCTCCCAGGGAGCGGACAGGGGGAGCCCTCTGTCGGGAAAGTGAGTAACCACAGCGGAAGACCCAGCAGGATCCTGGCCATGAAACCCACACTGGGTGACAGGCCCGAACTCATGGTTTTCTGTCAGCTTCTTAAGTCCAAGGGGACCGTGAAGAACCACCACACCCTCAGGGAAGGACGCCACTGAAAGAGACCAAGACAAGCGCAGACGTAACCTGGAGGAGCAGAGACAGGGCAGACCCTCCAGAACCCGGCACCCATGGGACAAGAGCACAGAAACAGGACGAACCCGGAAACAGAGGAAATGCTCTTGAAAACAATGTCAGGAAAACTTGAAAAGATCAAAGAGTGGAGTTGAGACATTCTACTGGAATGTGTAACAAAAAATGAGCTAAGACACAAATCCAAACCCTAAGGTCATTCGAGTAACCTCAGAAGGTGAACCACAGAGTGGGAAGAAACTGACCAAAGAGAGTCACACAATGTCCCAGAATGGAGAGAGCCCGCCCGCGCCTGGGAAGGGCCTACCTGGATGGAAAGGCTCCCACCAGGCACGTCATGGTGGTTGCAGTTCTTGGGGACAGACAGCAGGGCACGGGAGGACACTGGCTTCTCGGCCCCTGTGGCCTGGCTGGACCAGCTTGGAGCAGGGCCTCGGGCTCTTCGGAAAGAGGATTTCCCGTGGAAGTGTGCCCGCTAACCTGCCGGTCCCTGTGAAGGGAGGGCCTGGGCATGCTCAGATGCAGAGCTGTGAGAAGTGTATGTTCGCTGGGCTGCTTCTCAGCAAGCACCTGAAGGACGTTCTCTGCAGGCTTCCGGAAACCGGTCTCTAAGGAGGAGCGCGCAGGAGAGGTCCCCGGAGGCAGAGTGGGTGTAGTCCCCAGCAGCACAGTCCTTGGGGAGGCCAGGGGTGGCCCAGGGCCAGTGGGCAGAGCTGTGCCTGGACAGGGCCCGGGTCCCTCCACCCCAGTGGGCCTCTGTCTCTAGAGCTAAGAAGCAGAAGGGAGGTGGAGTGCAGCTCAAGTCCTGGACCGCACACAAGTAGGTGTCACCAGGGCTCAGGCCACCATGGGCTGAAGGTGATCTGTGTTGGGAAAGTGCCTCTGGAGGCTGGGACAGAGTGGCCCAGGACCGTGAGGGCCCCCCGGTGGGAAGGAGAGGCACCGGGCTCTGACCTTGGGGGTCTGGGATGGCCAGACGATGGGGATGAGAGTACCCTGGGGAAGGCACAGCTCTGGGTCCTCAGCCTGCACAGCGAGTTAGGTGGGAAGCCGAGGGGGCAGCACTGAGTACCAAGCACGCTGATGGGAACTTGGGGTCTGGAGGGGGCTCCAAGGGAGAGAAACTTCACCTTCCACCGAGGGGGGGGCTAGGACCACTGGGGGGCCGCAGGGGTGCCTGTGGCCGCCTGGGGTTCAGAGCTGGGGGTGGAGGGGCCTTCAGGACACAGGACTCTTGGTGCGGAGGCATAGGTGTGTCCAGGGGAGACCCGAACAGAAGCAGGGGCTTCCCCCACCTTGGGGAGAGCTGGGGGGGGCAGGCAGCAGCTGTGGCCTCCCCGCTTTGGACCCCAGCAGTCTTCTCTCTGAACCCTCTGCCCAGGATGGGGTGAAGCTCCACCTTCTGGTGGTGGCTCTGGGGCAGCTTGCTTGCTTTTTTTTTTTTTAAGATTTACTTATTTGAGAGAGGGAGGGGAGAGAATCTTGAGCAGCGTGGTGCCTGGCATGCGGCTCAATCCCACGACCCTGAGATCAAGACCTGAGCTGAAACCAAGAATCGGAGGTTCAACCTACTGAGCCACCCAGGCGCCCCCCCGGGCAACTTTGTTTTTTATGATTTTGTGCCTTTTCCCAATTTTTTTTTGCCATCATGATAGAATAAAAACCGGTCTTGTTTTAATAACAAAGGTCTAGAGGAGCAGGGTGGGTCCAGCATGCACCTCCTCCCTACCCTACCCTGGGACCTTGGTCGTCTAGAGCAGGGCCTCTAACTTGGCTTCTTTTGGCTGTAGAACTTCTGGAGGTTCATATTCCGGAAGAATCTGCCACCGACCTCCCTCTGTCAGATGGACTTTGCTGTCCTGGGCCTCGGCGACTCCTCATACGCCAAGTGAGTAGGGGCGGGAGGGCTGCTGGCCCACAGGGACTGTCCTCGGGGTTGAGCACAAAGCGTCCTGTAGAGGGACGGGTGACTGGGCCGCCAGGGCTCCTGCTGGACCTTGGGCCGGGACCAGGCTGCACATCCTGCTTCCGCAGGGGCCACCGGGGAGCAGCTAGGTTTCGAAGGGTGCGCAGGGCACAGACCGGAGGCTGGCAGGGCAGCAAAGTGGGGATGTCTTCTAGGGCAGGGGGTGATGTCTGGACCTGGCCAGCATCCTAGGTGGACATGGGACCCAGGGCAGCAAAGACCTACTGACTCTTCGCACTCTTAGGAAAGCATGTAGTCGGGAGATATTTGGGCGTACAAAGAGCACGGAGAGCAGTGCAGTGGGGACAAGCGAGGGGCACAGAAGGCCCCCAGCCCCTGGGAGCCACCCCCAAGGCCACTATTTCCCTGGGTATGGTGGAGTGACCACCTCTTAGATCTTCAGGACACATCTGTGTCCTAAGCTAAGGGTACTGTTGCTTTTCCTTCTTAAAGCAGCACCGAGGGCTTTGCATTTAAGGGTATGCCAGTCGTCAGGTCACTGAATCGTGGAAACCCCCCACCTGTGTGGCGCAGGGGCTGAGGGAGGGCAGGTGCCGCCGCCTCCAAAGCCAGGTGCGGCCGGAGGAGGGCTGGGATGGCAGCGGTGTGACACTCCTCTGCGGGGGAGCTTTGTTCTGTGCCTCCCGTAGACACTTGTGCGTGGCGGTGCAAACACAGGCACGAGGGGGATGGGGGGTGGGGAGCCCCTCCTGCTGACAGCGTTCCCTGCGAGGCGCTGTGGGCTCGTTTGGGGCTGCTTCCCCTTCGCCGCCCTGCAGCCCCGGGGCTGGGGCCTGCCCGAGCCTCGCTCTCTCTCCAAAGGTTCAATTTTGTGGCCAAGAAGCTACACCGTCGGCTGCTGCAGCTTGGGGGCCGCGCCCTCCTGCCCGTGTGCCTGGGCGATGACCAGCATGAGCTGGGGTGAGTGGAGTGGGGGGGGCGCTGCCCTGCAGGCCCAGCCAGGAGCAGGGGCCCCTCAGACTAGCCCTCACACGCTCTCTCCCCAGGCCTGATGCTGCCGTCGACCCCTGGCTGCATGATCTATGGGGGAAGGTGCTGGGGCTGTACCCCGTGCCCCTTGACCTTGGCACGATCCCCGCCGGAGTCCCGTGAGTGTGGGCCGACAGGTGCAGCGGAGCGGCCAGAGGCCCTGCCAGCAGACTGACCGGCAGCCTGACCTGCGTGTGCCCTCTCCACAGTTTGCCCTCCAAGTTCACACTGCACTTCCTCCCGGCGGCCCCCAGGGTGTGCTCTGAGGGGCAGCGTGTGGCCGGCACAGACCCTCAAGGTCCCCCGTCCGAGCAGCAGCCCTTCCTGGCACCCATGGTCACCAACCAGAGAGTCACTGGCCCCTCGCACTTCCAGGACGTTCGGCTGATGGAGTTCGACATCACGGGCTCCGGGCTCAGGTGAGGGGCCCGAGACACCAGGTGGGCAGTCGAGGGCCGTGGCTGTGGGGCCATGGCTGGGGGCCATGGCTGGGGGTCTGTGGTTGGGGGGTTCCGTGGCTGGGGGAGCCGAGGCTGGGGTCCGTGGCTGGGGGGGCCGAGGCTGGGGGTCCATGGCTGGGGGGTCCGTGGCTGGGGGGGCCGAGGCTGGGGGTCCATGGCTGGGGGGGCCGTGGCTGGGGGGGCCGAGGCTGGGGGCCGTGGCTGGCGGTGCAGAAGGTCTGCTCCCAAAGCCGGAGAGCAGGCACTCAGCAGGGTGGAGGGGTGCGGGCCAGGCGGCAGGGAGACACTTCCATCCGAGGACCCCTCACCCCAGCCCTCCCTGGACTCTTGCTTCCGTGCCCCCAGCATCCTCCCCTGTACCCCCGGTGCCCTGCCCACACCCGTCTCACTCTTCCCGGCGGCTTTCCCACACAGCTTTGCAGCTGGTGACGTGGTGCTGATCCAGCCCGAGAACGCGGCCAGCCACACCCAGCAGTTCTGCCAGGTGCTGGGCCTGGACCCGGACCAGAACTTCACCCTGCTGCCCCGGGAGCCAGGTGAGCGCCAGGGGCCAGGGGAGGCCCGGCCGTGGCCACCCGTTCTGCCCACCCTGTGGGGTCTGCTGGCATGCTCAGCCCTCCCCTGGGTCCTGCCCCCCACTGCAGGTGTGCCCTGCCCTGCGCGGCTGCCCCAGCCCTGCTCCGTGAGGCACCTTGTGTCCCACTACCTGGACATCGCCAGCGTGCCCCGCCGTTCCTTTTTCGAGCTCCTGGCCTGTCTCTCTCCCCATGAGCTGGAGCGGGAGAAGCTGCTGCACTTCAGTTCCCCCCAAGGTCAGGAGGAGCTGTACTCCTACTGCAACCGGCCTCGCAGGACCATCCTGGAGGTGTGAGCAGGTGTGGGCAGGCGGGCAGGCCCAGGGCTCTGAGCCACAGCCAGGCGGGGCCGTGCTGGCCGAAGCCCATGTGAGGCTGTCTCTGCCCAGGTACTGTGCGACTTCCCGCACACGGCTGGAGCCATCCCCGCAGACTACCTGTTGGACCTCATCCCCCCGATCCGTCCGCGGGCCTTCTCCATCGCCTCCTCTCTGCTGGTGAGGGCCTGTGGGGCAGAGCCCAGGGCGGGGACGCTGGGCCATGCCGCATACAGGCATATAGGTTGGGAGGTCGCCCCGACCCTCCACATCTACCCCACGTCTGGGACCAGCCCTGGGTGAAGTGGGTGCAGCCTGAAGCCGGGGTGACAGGCAGGGACAGCAGTGGATCAGGGCACCCACCACGCCTCCCCCAGGTTCACCCCTCGAGGCTGCAGATTCTCGTGGCTGTGGTGCAGTTCCAGACCCGCCTCAAGGAGCCCCGCCGGGGCCTCTGCTCCTCCTGGCTGGCGTCGCTGGATCCTGGGCAAGGTGGCCCCCGCTTTCCGGAGGGTGGGCGTAGAGGACTGGGCCCGGGGCCTCTGCTCTCCCCTGGGCACCACGGCCAGCCCTGGGCTAGGGCCCTGGTCCTCGAAGCCTCTTCATGCCTCCTCTCTCCTGCCATAGGACCTGTCCAGGTGCCGCTGTGGGTGCGGCCTGGGGGCCTGACCTTCCCACAGACACCAGGCACACCTGTAATCATGGTGGGCCCTGGCACTGGCGTGGCCCCTTTCCGAGCAGCTGTCCAGGAGCGCGTGGCCCAGGGTCAGAGCGGTGAGCACACAGGATCTCGGGCAGGGCGGCAGCTGGGGCTGGACTGGGCCAAGCCTAGAGGCCACCTTGTGTTCCCCCAGGAAACGTTTTGTTCTTTGGCTGCCGCTTGCGCGACCAGGACTTCTACTGGGAGGCTGAGTGGATGGAGCTGGAGGGGAGGGGCTGCCTGACACTCTTCACGGCCTTCTCCCGGGAACAGGTGGGTGTGCTGGGAGGGAAGGGGAAGGGGCCAGGATGCAGACTCACCTCCCCAGCCCCTGCCACCTCCCTGTAGGAGCGGAAGGTGTATGTGCAGCATCGGCTACGAGAGCTCGGGCCGCTGGTGTGGGAGCTGCTGGACCGCCAGGGTGCCTACTTCTACCTGGCAGGGTGAGCCTGGGCCGCTGGGTGGGGGTGGGAGCCGGCCCTCGGGGGTCCCAGCCACACTGAGCCCTCCTGGCCTGTCCCTCCAGCAACGCCAAGTGCATGCCAGCAGACGTGTCGGAAGCCCTGACATCGATCTTCCAGGAGCAGGGTGGGCTCTCGGGCCCTGATGCAGCTACCTACCTTGCAAGGCTCCAGCGGACGCTGCGTTTCCAGAGTGAGACGTGGGCCTAAGGAGCCGTCCTGCTGGCCTCAGCCACTCTAGCCACTGCCCTCTGGGGGGCCACCATCACCTCCCCCACTGTCCCCTGCACAGCCTCACTCCAGTCCACCTGGGGTCCCATACTCAGCCCCGACGCCACTGCCCACTCACCACCCCACCCTGCCCCCATCCAGGGTTCCTGCTGGCCTTTCCCCACTGGCCCCAACTTGGGTCCTGGTCAGGGTTGTCCCTGGGCTGCATCACCCTGCGTAGGGACGGTGCCTCAGGAAGGAGCAGGCAACCTGATGGACATCAGGGGCTCCCCAGACAGCATAGGAACCTTCTGAGCTGGTGCAGGGTCCCTGGGAGTGCCGGATGCTACCCCCCTATTTGCCCTAGGGGCAGCAGGCTCCCAGTCACCCTCTGCCACAAAGCACCCGGTGCTGCCTCAGGGCCTCACGGGGCTCGGGCTCAGGCTGGAAGTCAGTGAGGACCAGAGCAGTGGGAGGAGGCCCACCAGCCAGTCAGACTTTCCCCACCCCACTCCTGAAAAGCCTCAGGAATAAATTGTGGGCTCTGGGTGGCTGCTTCTGATCTGCTCTTCCTTGTGACTGTCTTGGTGCCTCGGGGGGCTGGGTGGCCCACAGTGGGTCTGGATGGGGACAGCTCATGGTGCCTCGGGGGGCTGGGTGGCCCACAGTGGGTCTGGATGGGGACAGCCGTCCATGGTGGGCACTGCACCATTGCTCAGCCATCTTTGCTGCAATACTTAGGGGTCTGATTCTACTGTGATGTGTGCCGGCTGTTTGCCCACTTTGTACAAGGTCTGCCCTGGCTCTGTCGAGCAGGGGGCAGCCTTAAGCGGGCCCTGGAAAGAAGGGCGCGAACTGACCATTCCTTCCCAGCCCGCGGAGTAGCAGTCCCCGGCAGGGGCGGGAAGGCGGGGGGCGGGGCAGCCATTGTCCCCGCCCCTGGGAGGGGCCTTCAGGGTTCTGAGGGGAATTCCTGTAGGAGGAGTCAGGCTGGCTGGCCTACCCACAAAGCTGCTACCTGGAGTCCGTCCCTCCGTCCGTCGGTTGCGAGCGCAGCGGAGGGCCGTGGCCACATCTGGGCCCGGGCAGATCCGGTGGAGACGGCACCCGTGGGCCCAAGACCCGCCCGGAGCCGGCAGAAGCACTGGGGCCCAAGCGACCGTGACTTTCCAGGGTGGGGCAAGAAGCTGGGCGCTGGGACCAGGCTGCGGCTGCTTCGAGGTCAGTGCCAGACCCTGCCCGAGCCCAGAGGGCCACACTGACCTTCACAGCCACGACCACCCGGTCGCCACCCTGGGGACCCCGCCCACCCATCCGGACTCCTGCCCCAGGGCCCCCACTCATGGCCCCTGTGACCGCAGCTCTGGACTCACCGGTCTGCCTTCAGCCTCTCCGGGCCCGGAGTGCCTAGCCCCCCCGCTCCAAGTGCTGGCAGAGGAAGACTTGGACAGCAAGGTTCTTAGGAACGGCCAGGGTGCTGGGGCTCTAGACAGTGAGCCCCTGCTGGGGGCCACGGCCACAGCCTGCCCCTGGGCTGAGCAAGCAAGGGAGGATGGGGCTGGGGAGCAGGCAGGGGAGTGGGGGGAGGAGGAGTGCCCCATCTGCACAGAGCCCTACGGGCCTAGTGAGCACCGCCTGGTCCTGCTGAACTGTGGCCACGGCCTGTGCATGGGCTGCCTGCACCAGCTGCTGGGCACAGCCCCCAGCGCCGGCCTGGGCCAGGTGTGCTGCCCACTGTGTCGTCAGAAGACACCCATGCTTGAGTGGGAGATCTGCCGGCTGCAGGAGGAACTGCTGCAGGCAGATGGGCCGCAGGTCCCACGGCCCCCGACCCCCCCTGCTCCTCCCCGCCGGGGCCCTGGGCCCTGGGCCTCCCTAGAGCACCGCTACCAGCTACGCTTCCTGGCGGGGCCCGTGGGCGGCCAGGGCTGCCTGCCCTTCCTACCCTGCCCGCCCTGCCTGGGTGCCCGGCTCTGGGCCTTGCGGGAGCGAGGGCCCTGCACCCGCCGCCTGGCACTGCTGGGCCTACTGGCCCTTGAGCTCCTGGGCCTGTTGCTCATCTTCGCACCACTCATGCTGCTGGGGCTGCTCTTCATGCTGCTGGACCGCTCTGGTCACTGAGCAGGGCCTATCACACCTGCCACTGGCACCACCAGGGCCTCGGATAGTCCTGGCCACCGACGGACCAGGAGCCCCAGGCTGGCCCCGAGGCCTGACGACCAAACTGAAAAGCCCGAGATGGAGCCGGGCACTAGCCTTCAATCCAGACCCGGGTCTGGGGCCAGGCCTACCCAGGAGCCAGAGACTTCAAACCACCCTGCCGCCCGACGCTAACTACTGGTGCCCGTGGGCAATGCTGGAGGAGGCCTGTGGCCTGTCCTCACCCCCTCTCCCTGACCCACCCGGCCTGTCTGCAAGAGGGACACAGCAGCTGCAAAAGTGAACCCAGAAGGCTGGTACTGAGCTGACTCCTTGGTGAGGGTGGGGCCCTGGGCAGGGGCTGCAGGGTCCCCACCATGTCATGTTCCAGAGGAGGGCCAGTGTGTCTTCCCTGAAGGTCAGGGCAGTGGAAGGGAGGGGCCCTTGCTGTGCCAGCTCAGGCCACAGACAGCTTCCTCACTCACTGGGTCAGGACCCAAGGGGGTGGCCCGAGCGGCCAGGTGTCCAGCACATGTCCCCGAACGACTAGGCCTTGGGGCTGGACAGCACTGACCCGAGGCCCCTGAGTGCCCTGTAACCGCCTGTCATTGAGCCTGGGACCTTTATCTAAAGGACAGACACAATCAGCATGACCTCACGGGTTTGTGGGTGACGTGCTGAACGAGAAATGGCTCTCAATACACAGCAGCTGCTACCGAGACCTCGCCACCATGTTCTCGTCGTCTCTACCGCTTCCTCAGCGCCCTGCGGCTCTCCCCAACCCTCCTCTCCCCCCTCCACCACACAGCTTCCTTCCCAAGTCCAGGTAGTGGGGTACAAGATCGAAGGCCCCTGGTCCTCCTACCCCACCATGGTCTCAGGCAGCCTTTGTCTCGACCCTGGCTCAGACTGGCTCAGAGGGTCCGGTGGGTACCAGGAGCCTGAGAGACTGAGGTGTCCCCCATGCAGCTGCCCCCACCTCCAGTGGCCAGTGCAGAGGACACGTCCGCCCTTTGCCCACACACAGGAGGCTGGCTGGCTCTGCACAGACGTGTGGGGCATTCGCATGCACACACACACACACAGCCAGGCCCAGCCCTCCTGAGTGCCGTGCCTGGCCCAGCCTGGCCCCAGCAAGCAGAGCAGGCTGACCCCAAGCGGCACCGGGCCTACCTCTGGTTGGACCCTGTCTGGGCCGCAGCCCTGGGCACAGGCCACGAGAGCAGGCTTCAGTCCAGGGCGCAAGGTGCAAACTTTGGCAAAGAGTTTTAATGGCGGAGCTGGCTGCAGCGATAATGCCACATGGGTAGGGGCCAGAAGCTGTGGTGGGCGAGGGGTCAACGGGAGACAGGGCAGGGCCGGGTCCCCGAAGAAGCGGCGAGCAAGGACTGGCGGGCAGTGGCGAGCGGGCGGGTGCTACATGATGGAGCAGGCGGAGAGCGGGTTCCGCACGTGGCAGGTGCACGCAGCCCCACAGTACTGTCGGAAGGTCTGGTAGCAGCTGCCCTCGGGCTCACCCCCCCACTGGCCGCCGGACGGGGCGGTCAGCGCCTCGGGTGGCAGGCGGCTCAGAATGGACGTGTTGACGGCGAGTGCAGCCAGGCCGTAGTCCGTGAAGAGCACAGTCTCGCGGCGGCAGGTGGGACAAGAGATGAACTTGTACTTAGGGCAGGACTCATAGAGAATCTGCAGGCACTGCTCACACACCGAGTGCAGGCAGGACAGCACTCGGGGCCGCCGCTGGGTGACGTTGTACGTGTGCCCGCAGGTGGGGCACTCCAGGGGCTCACCCGAAGCTGGTGCCGCCGTGGCGGGGGGCCCCGAGGTGGCAGGGCCAGGCCGCACCACGTACTGATTCACGATGACCTCGTCTGCTGGCGCCACTCGGGGGAAGCCCAACTCCACACTGCCCTTTCGGGGCCGTCGTGGCAAGGGAGGGGTGCGGGGTGCCCCATCCAAGGCAGGCATGTCCCCCCCACATGCCTGGTTGACGATGATCTCTGTGTCTGAGGGCCAGGCGCGTTTGGGTGCCAGAGCAGGGGTGGGCCGCGGTGCAGGTGGGAAGCAAGGGGCAGCCGCCGGCAGCTCAGGGAACTTCTCAGGGTGAACAATCTTCATGGCCTCCATCTTGAGGATGACATGGGGGCCCTTCAGGCAGGACATGAGGAGGCCTGGCCAGCCACTGCCCACCTCGGGCCCAGGGTCAACCGGCATCCGGCTGTCTCCAGTTAGACTGGGTGTTCGGGTGGGTGGGGGCGTTGGGTGAGGCCGGGGAGGAGGGGAGGGAGCAGCATCCTGGTCCCGCCAGGCCTGGTGGGGACCCCGGCCGCCCCGAGGACTCCTGGGGGCGGCCGGCGAGAGCTGGGGGGGCAGGGCCCCCCCCAGTGGCTTCTCTGGTCCAGTCCTAGGAGGAGGAGGAGGAAGGGGTGGGGGAGGAGGAGGGAGGCGGGGGCAGGGGGGTATGGAAGGCTGCCCTGGGCTGCAGGTCTGGCCCAGGGGCTCACCCAGGGTCTCTGGCCGCTGAGGCTGGCGAGGGGGCGTGGGGGGAGCTCCCCCTGCAGCGGAGGTCAGCAGTCCCTGAGCAGGGACATCCGGGCAGGCAGGGGCTAGGTGGGCCCCATGGCTCCAGGACAGGGCGCCCAGGGAAGGCAGCTAGCCTGAGCCCTGGCTGCGGGAGGCCCCAGGCCGCGGGCTCGGCGGCGGCGGGAGCAGAAGAGAGGCCTGGACCAGGCCCGAGCTGCAGGTGAGAGACAGCGTGAGGGCAGCGCCCGGGCCCACCCTCACCCTGCACAAAAGACAGGGCGCCCGACCTCCGACCCTAACCCTCGCTGGACTCGGGACCCAGCCCCCGCCCCAGCCCCCGCCCCCACGGCCCAAGCCCTGCCCGGGTGGGAAGGGGCGGCGAGTCGCG